CGGGAACGGGGAGGAGGGGAGTTATGGGGGGGGAAAAAAGAGGAACAAATGTAACCTGAACAATAAAGATTTAATTAAATAAAAAGAAAAAAAGAAAAAAAAAAAAAAAGAAATTTATAATCCAATAATTCAAAAATTGTGCTAATAAAATTCTGATTTTGAAGATTTTCAGATTGCTGTTATTGAAAAAAAAAGCTTGCAATATAGAAAAACATTTAAACTAACTGCTACAAAATCAAGAAATGACCTAATGAAATTCAACTGGCATTTGAATGATGTATAATAGTTAATTTTGAAATTTTATAATTGTACCTCTGAACATATTAATCCATACGAAGACTCTTTTTATGTAGCTCCTATTATAACTGAATTCGTGCATGGATGGGGTCCCTCGGCCTGGCTGGTGATCGAGGCCCATTGGGGCCCATTGGGGCCAGCTGGCTAACTGAGGGAGGGACCATGGGAGGTTGGCCGGCCACTGGAGGTTGGTTGTAGGAGCGTACTAAGCACCAGGGGGTAGCTCCTGTGTTGAGCATCTGCCCCCTGGTGGTCAGTGCACATCATAGCTACCGGCCCGTCATCTGGTTGTAATGGTCACTTAGGCTTTTATATATATCCTATATAATAAAAGGGTAATATGCAAATTGACCCTAACAGTAGAACGACTGAGAATGACTGGTCACTATGACACACACTGACCACCAGGGGGCAGACGCTCAATGCAGGAGCTGCCCCCTGGTGATCAGTGTGTTCCCACAGGGGGAGTTCTGCTCAGCCACAAGCCAGGCTGATGGTACAGCGGTGGTGGTGGGAGCCTCTCCCGCCTCCTCAGCAGCGCTAAGGATGTCAGACTGCAGCTTAGGCCTGCTCCCCGCTGGCAAGTGGACATCCCCCGAGAGCTCCTGGGCTGCCAGAGGGATGTCTGATTGCCAGCTTAGGCCCAATCCCCCGGGGAGCAGGCCTAAGCCAGCAGGTGGTCATCCCCCGAGGGGTCCCAGACTGTGAGAGGGCACAGGCCGGGCTGAGGGACCCCCACCTCCCCGAGTGCACAAATTTTTGTGCACTGGGCCTCTAGTCCTATATAATAAAAGGATAATATGCAAATTGACCAAACAGCTGAACGACTGCTTGCTATATTGTGCACTGGCCACCAGGGGACAGGCTCTCAATGCAGGCGGAGAAGCCGGGCTCATGGCTGGCAAATGCATCGGCGGTGGCAGGAACCTCTCTCGCCTCTGGGGCAGTGCTAAGGACCCCTCAGTGGACATCCCCCGAGGGGTCCCAGACTGTGAGAGGGCACAGGCCGGGCTGAGGGACCCCCACCTCCCCGAGTGCACAAATTTTTGTGCACTGGGCCTCTAGTCCTATATAATAAAAGGATAATATGCAAATTGACCAAACAGCTGAACGACTGCTTGCTATATTGTGCACTGGCCACCAGGGGACAGGCTCTCAATGCAGGCGGAGAAGCCGGGCTCATGGCTGGCAAATGCATCGGCGGTGGCAGGAACCTCTCTCGCCTCTGGGGCAGTGCTAAGGACCCCTCAGTGGACATCCCCCGAGGGGTCCCAGACTGTGAGAGGGCACAGGCCGGGCTGAGGGACCCCCACCTCCCCGAGTGCACAAATTTTTGTGCACTGGGCCTCTAGTCCTATATAATAAAAGGATAATATGCAAATTGACCAAACAGCTGAACGACTGCTTGCTATATTGTGCACTGGCCACCAGGGGACAGGCTCTCAATGCAGGCGGAGAAGCCGGGCTCATGGCTGGCAAATGCATCGGCGGTGGCAGGAACCTCTCTCGCCTCTGGGGCAGTGCTAAGGACCCCTCAGTGGACATCCCCCGAGGGGTCCCAGACTGTGAGAGGGCACAGGCCGTGCTGAGGAACACCCCCCCCCCCCAGTGCATGAATGTTGTGCACCAGGCCTCTAGTAGACAATTAAGACTGGAAACGTAATTGAAATGCATCAACAAACACCAATAATTTTCATTCTATGTTATTTTTAAAGACATTTTTTAAAGTTTCTATTTGACTATAGCTATTTTTATTTTTAGAAAGAATTGAATAACAAAATGAATTTTGAAATGCACTTTCAATAAATTCACCAGTATAACATCGCAAATATAATTTGAGTTAATTTTATTGCCTCCTTTCACTTTCAAGGATCCTAATTCCAACAATATATCATATGGTTACCATAGTAAATAACAACCTGGGATGCTGAGGAGAGGGCACCCCTCAAAGTTCCCTGTGACCCCATGGGATGAAGATGTAGCTGAGAGAAAGCGCCAGGGAGCTGCCAGCAGGCCGCCGTGACCTGGAAGGAAAAGCTCCCTACAGGAGAGACCAAGCAGTATGTCGAGGAGGGGGAACACTTCTTTCCTGCCTGCTGTTTCCTCACTGTGGAGGGACATACATGAGAACAACACCCATAAGGGCTTCTCTTTGCTCCCGTCTTCTGGTGGAGGTGGTGATCTGTTATCCGATTGGTCAATTTGGAAAGCGACAGTTCGTGTGACCCGCCCCTTCCTTTCTGCCTTGGGAGGAGCTGCCAAGAGGAAGTGCCCGTGTGACGCCACCCCTTCAGGCCGCGCGGTTGAGGGAACTTACCTCTGCGCCATCTTCCCTGGGGGCTGCCTGTGACGTCGTTGGTAAATCTCTCTAATTCTGGGGTTCTGTAAACTGTAAGCCACAGCTTTACATATCTCTTCTTGCTGTTGTGAGTAAATATTTTTGTTTTCCTGCTGTTTTTCTTCTGTTCAGTTAAATCCCTTAGAGAAGAGAATGACGTTACCCACTGGACCCTCCTCACTCCCCAGCATCTAGGAAAGAGTAGGGTTAGAGAGAAAACGAAGCCAGAGAGGAAGTCCGTGCTTGGCGGGCTTGTGGGGTAAAGCTCCTGGCCTGCACCCGGCCTGGCTCAAGGGGGAGGTGTGAGACTTGGCCCGTTTGGGACTGAGAACGGACCGCCAGTTTCCGGTTGTAGAGGGTGGTTGCCATTTACGGCGATTTTGCGCACGCGCCAGTGGCTGTTTTTATGTAATCGCACACATATTTCTCTAAAGCAGTGGTTCTCAACCTGGGCTGCACAGTAGAATCACCTGGGAGTCTTTTTAAAATCCTGATTTCTGGGCCTCATCCTCCGGAAATTCTGTTTCTTTGTTACTAATGTTGTGGCCCCCACCCCATAACAAAGAAACAGAATTTCCGGAGGATGAGGCCCAGAAATCAGGATTTTAAAAAGACTCCCAGGTGATTCTACTGTGCAGACAAGGTTGAGAACCACAGCCCTAAAGGCAAGTGTGCGTGCGCGGGGCTGTGAGCGAAGGCCAGGCGAAGGGCCCCGCAGGCCGCAGCTGAACGGAGTGCGGAGAATCCGGTTGTTCCTTCCGGCCCAACAGCTGCGGCCACCTGCCCTGGGACTCCGTGTCCAGGACGTGTTCTCCGAGTCGCCTTGTCCGAGACAAGGGCTTGGCTCCAGTGGGAGTCTTTTCATGCAGCAGCCTTTCCCCGGCCTCAGAGGTTTCCATTGCACCCAGCAGTGCCTGCAGGGAGTGCCTGCAGGGAATAGTCAGTGCCAGGCCTGCCTCGGGTGGGAGCAGGGAAAGTCCGCCCAGATTCTGATCCCTCGCACATTGCTTGACTCCCCATTGGAATCAAGAGAGGGAGCGTTGAAGGGACAAATCCAGGAGTCACGTGACGTGTCCTGGGGTTTAAAAGTTGCTACTTCTTGATCTGAAGTGCCTCTGAATTGGATAATTCTATATGGTTTGACCATGACTTTTTTGGGGGGAGGGGGGTTTGTTTGTTAATCCTCACCTGAGGGTAATGCTTCCATTGATTTTTAGAGAGAGAGGAAGGAAGGAAATGGGGGGCGGAGAGAGAGAAACCTCTATTTGAGAGAGACACATGGATTGGTTGCCTCCCGTCGAAGCTCCTACAGGGACCAGGTATGGGACTGCAGCCCAGGTACTGCCCTTGACCAGGAATCAAACCCCAGACCCTTCGGCGTCTGGGCTGAGGTCTATCCACTGAGCAAAAGGCCAGGGCTGACCATGACTTTCGATTGCTGAGATTCAAACTGTGACTCTGCCCATAGGGGGTTGATGCATATCAAAGTAAAAATAATTAGGGCCCTTCCTGTAAAGAGTATATACCTTCTTACATTGAGAACGAGATACAATTCAATGAAATTATTGCAAAAACAGTGGGAAAAAAATAAAAGGACTTGTGCTTGGAATGCTCTGTTTCTAATGATTTTGCTTAGGAGTTTAAAGTGTTGGAGTAGTTTAAAACAAGTTTCAGGGTTAATATAGAACAATGGAAGAATGAAGCCAAAAGAAAAAAAAATAGACTGGAAGAAAAAACTTTTTTTAGGAGAAAAGGAGAAAATACAAAACTAACTTGACAGAGGTGACATAGAAAATAACTATTTGAATTCAACTACATACCTATAAGAGAGAAATGGAAATTCAAGGCAATCTAAATGCTCTACAACAAGGTATGTTACTAGATTGAAATAGGGGCCCAGCTCCCAAATCTGACTCTTTTTAAAGGAGTCATTTCATTTAAGATTATGCCTCTCTCTCTTTGATTAGAAACAGGAGACTATTGAGAAGTCACAGAAAAGGGATGATGTAAAATATGTTAAAACAGCATCTTAAAATTGGGAAAGACTAGGAAGATCTGTAAAATACACAAAGAAGTATCATTAGGTGATTTTCAAGGTAATACAGTCACTGTAGATTTTTGTATAGGTCTAGCTTATGCCTTGAAGGAGCATGCCAAGAATTGACTCAAGACATGGCTCAGCAAGATGAGGCATATTGAAAGGAGCCAGGCAAGAAAAGGAGTTAAGACTAAGCTTGTATGTACTTGATGTGGGTCTGATGGTAGAAAAATTCCTCCATGGAATTACCCATCTCAAGGAATTAGAAAAGATTTGTTTAAATAGTAGAGGCTTTTAATAGACCCAGAAGCTAATGATTTCATCACTGATGATAGAGATAATTCTGGAATTTAAGAAATAGAGGAATATATTAGAACAAGCTAATGTCTAAAAAAGATAAAAAGGAAAGCATGTATCCATTTCCAGCAAAAAGCAATATTATTTGGAGAGGAGACCAAATTAACGAGCAGCTTAGGCAGTTAGAAACTCAGTTCTTAAACAGATTAAATAGTTAAAAACTTAAAACATTCTGAAAGGTGTAGTTGGAGGATAGGAGAAAATAAAAACTAGAGACCTATTTCCAGGGAAAAATACATTGCATAAAAATGCTATTCAAAATCTGAATAATTCACTGAGAAAAGACTGCCTTAAATGAGCACCTGGAAGAGGTATTCCTTCTCATTGGGCCTTGAGGTGCTCAGGTTTAAGAAGCAATTGTAGCTTCAGTTCAGGAATCTATTGAGAATGATATTCCAGCCATAGCAAATGGGATAAGAGAGTAACCCTCCCTCAGAGGCAGTTTAGCAATTCCATACCAAGAGTTAGGGGAAGAAGCACTGTCGTAAGTATAGGATTGAAAATACCTGCTTACTGGAGATAAGTAAGCCCTGTTTCATAAGATGGTCTCTGATTCCAGCAGTAACAGAGCCAGAAACGGGGTTATAGGAGGGAATGAAAATGAGGATTTTAAAACATTTTTCATGTACAAATAAAATCTGGTGATTTTTATTATAAATATTTAAACTTTTATGGAAGAAAGGAATGTCTCAAATGTCATTCTTTGAGAGAGATAGCAGTATGTCAGCTAAGTGATTTTGCTCCCACATATGATGAATCCATAGTGTCAGAGTTAATGTATTAATAGACATTTTCTCTAATCTGTGACACACAAACTGAAAAGCATTCTGGTAAAGCTGAAATCAAGAATATTTTCAGGTCCCCTTCCTTTAGATGCTATTCAATGTTGGCTTTTGAGGACACATTGAGTTTTTTTGTTTGTTTTGTTATAACTATTCTAAGCTCAGGGAATGACTTACATTTAAATTTCATGGGTGTGGGCCAGTTTTGTTAAGTTTATATATTTACTTAGTATTGTTTTGAACCATACATCCAAAGCTAACAAAGTAATAGTTCAAAAACTAAAGTTATATATATTAAAAAGTATATATTGACAAATCTTAATTCTTATTTTGCCCCCTGCAGCTTTTACTTGTTTAGTTGTTTAATGAGCACTTCTATAATACTAGCACTGTCCTATGTACTTTGCAAATGTTAATTCATTTATTTCACATATATTAACCCTATGTGTAAGAATTTATATAATTTCTATTTTATAGATAGGCTTATAACTGAACCCAGGTTTTGCTGCCTGCCACAATAAAAGCCAAACTTCTGAGATAGGTGCTGTGAGAAGGAAAGAGGTTTATTCAAGTGCCAACCATCATGAGAAGATGGGGGACTCTTGTCCCAAAGCCCATCTTAACATCTCAGTGCAGGCAGGAATTTTTATCAGAAAGGAGAGGGAAAGCAGAACAATGAAATCGGGGAGTGAGCTGTGGACGTGCAGGCAGTGTTCTTGCTGGTCCTAATATAGATCTTTAACATCAGCCAAGTCTGGAGTCCAAGCTGCCCCAGGCCCAGGACACCCTGTTTCTGCAATCTGGTAGAAAAAAAAAAGGCTGTTAGCGTTTTATGGTAGGCATGACTAACCTTTGTCTTAAGGCATACATTCTGTTTTCTGACCGAGGGAGATATATTATTATTATATATTATTTAATTAAGAAGGTTATTTTGTTAGCATAAAGATTTTGTGTAGGATGTACAGGATATATAGACTGTGCAGGATGACTTCCCTGCACATGGAGATGGATTTTCATGGTCGCCATTCTTGAGTTGGCCATCTGGGCATATTTATCAGCTGAATTATTTTTGAGGCCAGGCTGCTTCCTAGGTTCACACAGGAATGGAAACTCCTGAAATTATACTAAAAAAACACCCCACCACAAACAACTTTTAGCATGCAAGATCCAGTTTTGAGGAAAATAAGGTTAGAGTAACAAGCTGGGTAAATCACATTTACTAAGATTAACATGGGTAGCTTTATATATATATATATATAAACTAGAGGCCTGGTGCATGGATCCATGCACATTGAAAGGAAATTAATTAGAAGAAATATTTTAGAGGCCGGGGAGGGACCGTGGGAGGTTGGCTCCAGGGCATGTCTGACCTGTCTTGCCTAGTCCAGCCGATCAGGCTGGACCCCAGCAGCAAGCTAATCTACTGGTCGAAGCATCTGCCCCCTGGTGTTCAGTGCATGTCATAGCGACTGGTCGAATGGACAAATGAATGGTTGGACACTTCTTATATTAGGCTTTTATTATATAGGATTCTTTCGTAAGCTTACTTTGTTAGTACATTCTCATTTTTGTTCTGTTCTATGGCTAGTTAGACTAACCTAAGTAGTATAGCCCATTCATTCCCCATTGCAGGTTCACAGAGGTTACTTAATTTGTATGTGACAGAGAAAGACCCAGGCATCTGGTTCTGGTCAGACTAATTTAGTAGGTCCTGTAGTATGTATGCCTCTTGAGTCATTTTTTTTTAAGTACAAATACATGCATATTTAGATATATATTCTTAATTTTTCCTTTTCTCTAGAAAAGAAAGCAAATTATACACTGTTTTTCACCTTTTTCTTTC